CTGTTGTTTGCTCGGACAAGCTCCTTAGCGTGCTCCAGAGCACGCATCATGTTGCCTTGTGCACTTGCTTGGCCGTCCTTGCCCGTCACGTCGGCAATGGCCGATGCATTCGTTTTGTTGATATCCGAATCGTCCAACTCATCCATGAGCTTATCGGCCTGATCCGTAGAATCGTCTTCCTCTTCTCCAAACCCATATCCGGCTTCAACATCTGCGAGTTCTGCAATCTCCGCATCATCGGTGTCAGCCGTGTCACAAGTTGACTCTGGAGCGCTGGCAGTGCCACGAAGCATTCTCTTGCTTGCAGAGTCCTTCACAGGGTCCGGCTGGCCGCCAAGTTCCACCAGCGTGCTCGCACCATGAGACACTCCGCAAAGAAGAGCTTCAAAAGAAGACGTCGAAGAAGAAGCTGATTCATCATCGCCCACGCTAGGGAGTGCATCTTCCTGCAAGGCGGCCGGGCCACCACTCGGCGCACGAAACACATGCAAGCCTTTCACCGCAACCCTGGTGTCGTTGGCAGTGCTGGATGCAGCTGTTGTCTTAGATTCCTTGCTCATGTCCTTAAGAATCTCCTTCATCGTCGTGAACTGAAACCTGTCGCCTTGCAGCCGGAGCTCGCCTCCGTCTGTCCTCTCAAGTTTCGCCAGGACCATGTGGGATCTTGGCGATGTCGTGCAAAGCACATGGCAATCACGAACGTCTACATCCCCCTGTGTCTCTACGCTTTTTGATTGAAGCTGTAGGGCACCTTGAGATGCGGTGCTCCACAAACGACCTTTGGAGTCAGCCAGTGCCTTTCGAAATTGCGAATGTGCCTTATGCGTCGCCAACACAGATCCCGCCAACAGACGTGAGGCTGCTGTGACTTTCAAATCAGGCAAAGCGAGTGACAGGTTGGTGTTAGCCAAATCGTCGTGGAGCTGAGCCCAGTCAACAACCGAAGTCGGTGTGAAGCGGTTGGGCATGTCCAAGACAGGCTTGTAATTCTCTCCTGACCCAAGCAAGTCTTCAAGCACCGGCCCAGCACGACGCTTTACAGCAGACCATCTCTTGCAAGCGGAATCGTCATCTACACCTTCACCGCTTGCGCTGGCAAAGGCACAAGATTTCTGAACGATCAGCCGGCTGGACAGTGTGGGTAAGTCTATTCGCGGACACCGGGATGAGATCAATCTGATGATGCTGTTGGTGCTTTCGACCAGCTGTGTGTCTCCCAGAAATACAGAGCTCGTCGCACGCAATATAGCGTACAACTTGCTGCCCGTGCTTGTGGCTCGGAAATCGAACCGCCCTTCCCGTGCGATGAACTCCAGTTCAGAGTAGCACAAGCACTTCAGCTTCTTAGCATTGAGTTCCAACAAGTTGTCGTCTGCGCTCAGCAATTCTTTGGCAATGCCTGCGACGTGCGATGCAACACATTGTCAGTGAGTCATTCAGTCACGATCATGAGACACAACGCAGCACGTGATCGATCTACAACCTGCAACTCACTCTGAGTCATGACGGCATGGTATGGTAGATGATCAGTTATGTTGCATCAGTGTCAAGAAACACTTTCAATCACAAGATATGATCAAGATATGCATGGGCCGACACACGCGGCACAGGCACTCGTATGTTTCGCAGCATCGCATCGATGAATCGATGAATCGATGGTTACATTAATTCAATGATATAAACAATAAACACTCCAAACAATACTTCCTCCTATCTGGAATATAAAATAAGAACAAGAATGATATCATTACTAGCCGAATCCTTGACGTTTGCTGCACCGCATTGTCGCCGGCTGCCACAACATCCAGAAGAGCTTCAGAGGATACCTTCCAAACCAGGGTTTTTTGATAGTTGACTTACTTGGTTTACACTGCAAAAGACTGCACTTCAAAACCAGTGACTTGCTAACTTGCTAACCGATAACTTTCAGCTCTGGTGCTTGCGTGTGACTGAGACGACACGCAAATGGAAACCGCCTGCTGCTGACGTCAACTGCTTGAATGTGAAAGACTTGACCATTCCGACCAGCACTTGAGGCAAATCCCCTGCGTCCATTTCCTTCATGGCATCATCAAACCAAGTGTCACAGGTGTGTGCCAGCTTATCGAACATCGTCATGACGTGATCGGCTTGGTGTGTGACAAGCTTCAAGAGCATCTCATCGTTACTGTGTTTCTGACACCAGCAAAGAAAGTATGACAATGGGCCCGCACTTCGTGCTGAAGACGAATCAAGACCCAGAAAAAACTGCAGCGAACAGCAGCAAGAGCCCCACTGGCCCACTTTGTCAACTTCAGTCTAACTGTATCCCGTGAGTCGTCGTCCATTAATGTTGCAGTCGCATCTTCCTTGCCCTTTGCCGTTGGCGCATTCTTTGCCTGTGCGCCTGTCTTCAAACGTTTCTGCACACTCTGTCCTGAGCCTTCAGCCTGCTCACCTTCGGGCACGGCTGCCTTCATGCGTTTGCTCAACATGGCCAACAGCACCGCTGCAAATAGCTGCGCCCACGTGCAAGAAAGAAAGATTCGGCCACATCAATCCCCCCCCATCTGCCCGTCACGACTCTGACCGGATATCGGCGAAAGTTCACTCTCTCTAGTGCTCTAGGCCCATGTATCTTCAAACAAAGCTCCACGAAGTCATTCACATTTTCCCGCCAGAAATTAATGCACTGGCAAAGGGATGCAATATACTTGTTGAACCCTTTGAACACGTTGGGAAATGCAAGGGCTGCCTCAGAAATAAACTCATCAGCTTGTACCAAAGATTGGTGCGCGATGAGATGCATTTGGTGTAGCATACAATTTGTGTCTACATAGAACACCGTAGGCAGATCCGCTTTTGCCAAGGCCGCCAACGTCCGGCGTCTCCAGGCACTTTGATCTGCGCCAGCATCTGTGGAATCGGCAAACACGAATATGGCCTGATTCCCCAGCTGCCCATTCCTGAGAATAGCAGTGTATGATCAAATGTCAATGGTCATTTGTCCGTTCCAAAAAAAACCAACGGACGGTAGCCGTTCTATTTATCAAGAAACTATTATCCGTGAAACTGGGCCGCTAAAGCAACACGTGAACTCACATGTCATGAAACCCGTGAAACTGAGACACTGCTTCATTCCCGCAAGGTCATGCAAATATGGAATTCCCAAAGCTTTCAATTGCTTCACCACCATTGCCAGGGAATGAGGTGCCGTGTTGCCGGAGACAACTTGCAAATCGGACCTTGTTGATTTATCGTATCACTGGCATAACTTAATGGAGCGGACATTAACAATTAACAAGTCATATGACAGTCATATTGTCATGATGTCACATACCGCAAGTCATGTTAAGCCAAATGCGGAAGGACATAATAACATCCATCCATTGCCGCTGCCGTTACGTATCAGAGTCGTAGTCGAGTCGTTGTCATAATTTATTATGCACATGTACACAAGCTGCTAAATCCAGTGGTGAGACAGCTCAGGGCGCAAGTCAGTCAGTTCAATGCACACGGGGCACACAATCTACTATGACCGACTATGACCGTTCTGACAAGCAGAATTAATCAAAGCCCGGAAACACACAGCGTCGATAGCTGACTGCTGAATTGAAATCACCAGTCTTCAGTGCATCCGGATTTGAAACGAACAGAACGAACAGAACCGATGCCTCCATACGGAAGAGTTTGTAGCATCTGCTCTGTAAGCAATTGCCACCAAGCTCCATGCATCCGAATCTCCCTGAGAGCACTGCAATGCCATGCCCAAACCTTCGGCAACGTGGGATTGCATTAAATGCAAAATGCCTGCTGCTGCCCGTTGCTCACAGCGAATCACGGTTTGGCCACTCACGTCAAACATTGCAATGATCCCAAAGTCAGCAGCAGCTATAGAGGTCATACACCGACGCACCCCAATTGAAAACATTGCCTGGATTGAGAGACGTCCACCTCTTCCATCT